GTATGGAAAATGTGCAAAGTACCTAGAAAAAATACTCATCTATAAGAAGTCAATTTGAACATTTCAACCAAATAGTATCAAAGAAAGTCCGATTAATTAATTTGTATATTCCTGTGGTAGAATCATACATATTTAACATCATACAATTTATAAACACTTCTCTTTTAAAACATTGATTTTTAGAAATTAAGATAATGATTTTAGAGAATATAACCTTTAACATGAGATATCTAAAATATAAGGGTTATATTTCATACTGAAACTCGATAAATCTATTTTAATTGCAAGAAAAATGTGACTTTAATTTTGTGCGAAAATCCATGTAAGTTTAAAAAGTGCGTTGAGCTGTATATACACTGGATTGGTAAAATAACCAGGAGCAAAGAAGGAGATTTTCAAAGGATTACCGGTAATGCGCTTTCACTATGTAATTGGATCCCCCCTAACACCGAAACCCTTGACCTTGGGGCCATGAAATTCACGATATGGAAGAGGCATCCTTTCTAATCATAACTATGTACATAGTTAATTGGCTTTATACCCTGGAGCAGAGGGAAATATTTTCAAAGAATTAATGTATTTGCATTTCACTATATCATTAATAGAGCCCAGTCCTTAACAACATAATCATTGAATCCTTGAACCAGGGGCCGTGAAATTCACAATTTTGGTAGAGGACTCGCACAAATACCAGGCCCAGGGCCACTTATGTCTTGAAGTCCAACTCAAGAGCTGTACACTACTGGACCAAAAAAAATCTGAAAATCCCAAATTTGACTGATAATGTTTGATAACTACTGATACGGTGCTATTCTTGCTGATAAATACTGATATTTACTTTTATTATTACTCTTGTTGCTAATAAATCTGATAATTACTGTAGTTTTAACTGCTGAGTCTGATTAATACTGATAAATACTTTTGATGTGCTGTCGCTGAGATTTACTGATAAATACTGTGGCCACCTTTTTTAAAGCTGGAAAGTTGCTAAGATGAAATTAAGGGCTATAAAAAACTTCAATTATTACTTTCTTTTATTTAAATAATCATGACGACATTTCCATATTTCTTTTTAAATGTTCTACTAATGACAAAAACCAAACACTGATGTCATTAAATCTATTACTGTACGATACTGTTATGAAAATGTTGACAATAATTAAATGACATTTTCAGAGTATATTAGGCAAATGTTTTCTACAAATCTATGAGAAAAGTATGATTTATCTGTAAGCTAAGTGAATGGAATAATTATTGTATAATATTTTTTCTAAAGATAATTTATACTAGGGGTGGCAATCGATTGCAGAATTGCTAATCGGTTAATCGCAAAACGTTCCGACCGATTAACCGGTTAGTCGTATCAAGATAATCATACATTTTGACATTTTCTTCTCATACAGACAAAAAGGCTAAAAAGTCGTTAGAAGTTAAATTCTGTTTATTATTTTGATCGTGGAATTTTATGTACATAAGAGTATATTTTATTTCAAATTCAATAGACAAGAAAAAAAAAACCATGAATATTGATTGAAAAATAAGACAGGTATAATTTATGCAGATGTTAAAGAAGTTAATTCTGCGTTGTCACCATAATCAGAACTAGTCCATATCTGAACTCTCACTTTATTTACAATTTACAACGTTCTTCATAATAAAATAATTTAAAAGATAACGGCAACGTATAGACGTACTTTAAATAAAAGTTCTTTACGGTGATATTTTTAACTTCATTAAAAAAACACAGGACTATCTGGGTAACGGCACGATGTTATAAAAACATGAATTAACACTTTACAAATTGAGCAATTACCATGCGATTTCAAACTGGAGAACTATAATTATCTACAAATATTCTTTATTATAAGATGTGTAAAAACACTAAATAAAAATCTATGTAGCGCTTTCCTTTCTGAAAAAAAGAAGGGATTTTAAGAAAACTACGCTCAAATTTACATTTTTTTAATATTTTTTCCGACTAACCGATTACAGATTTTGTAACCGATTGTCATCGTTCCAACCGATTAATCGATTAAACGGTTACATATTGCCATCCCTAATTTATACAAATTTCTGTAAATAAAAAGAACATAAGACTATCTTTCAAAACTTTAGCTTAATCATCGCCCTCTTCCGACTTCAAGAAAGGGTAGGGAGGTCAGTGATGTTTATTCTTCAGTTATAAGAAATAGTTCTTAGTTGGTGGAAAAAATAGGGATAAAATATGTATCTTGCAGGTTAGAAAAGCTTGATTCGCGCCATTTTCACTCGATCAGTTGGTCAAGAGATGACAAAATTCGCTTTTTAAAGATCACCTTTCATAGATCTAATTTTTTTTTCTTCAAATATATTTTTCCATTTTTTACGTGTTTAGCTTTGTGGTTTTTTATTGTCATTTTTTTTTTTGATTTTCCTCAAAAATGAAAAATTTTAAACTTAAAAAAAAAATAATTAAGTTATAGATAAAAAAAGGGGGGTTAATTATGTTCAATATGAAGACACAGCTTTCTATTCATTTATTTTGAATTTTCTTTATTTCTTTATCCATTTATCTACCCAGCACAGTTAAGGTTACAAAAGAAGGCGGAGCCTAATTTCTACGGGAAAACTTGACTATGACATCATACAAAATATACGTCATACAACATTTCTTTAAAATACTTCAAAATTAGTTTATCTGCTAATTTAACTAGTAAGAAATCATCAAACTACATAATTACTTACTACAGCGTGTTGTTTTGTCGTTAATTAAATCCCATGCACATAACAAGTTACAGTAAAACTCGGTTATAACGAAGTCACAGGGACCTATGAAATTATTTCGCTATAACCGTAATTCGTTATAACCGTATAAGAAAGTCATTAAATTTATACAGCTGGGGATTCAAGATGACTTCGTTATAACCGTAAATTCGCAATATCCCGTGTTCGTACTAAACGAGTTTGCTGTATAAACAAGTCACTGATCGCAATACAATTGTCAATATGACGTCATTTCTTACAACGTGAAGTAGTTTGTATGCAGTGAAAGACAGATAGAGTAATATTTTCTCAACAAAATATGTATTCTCTAATATTAAATAAAATATTATTTACAGATATTCTATAGACCAATAACTTGAATTTAATGTCTTTTTCACTATTTTATTAATATATTTTCTGTACATTACGTATTTAATTGACACTGCCGTATATTTGTATGCAACTTGTACATCTGAGGGTAATGTGAGGGGTCTTAATAAATCTATCTAGTGCAAGGGCATACACTCTAAGGATCAAAGTAAGCTTTTACATTTCAACGAAAGAACTATTAAGGTATACGAACCCTGGTTATGAGTATATAGACCCTGGCGATGGGTATATAGACCCTAGTGATGGGTATCTGAAAAGTGCTGCGATCCTTATGAAATCTTAAAAACAATTTAATTATATCAATATTTGATGCCGCTGACCAGCCAAAAATATAGCATTCGGTCATACAAGTATAATTTTAACAAGGAAATTGCAGATTTAGACAGGATAGCAGCACTTTTTAGAAAACTACAATGCGTGTTGAAATATTTTATATACTAAACTTTGAAATTCAACTTGGTTATGGCCTTGCACTAGTGATATTATATGTAACATCAATACTTCAAGTCAATATGCTAAAATCGCGTGACTGCCGCATAACGTGACTAGTCTAAATATAAAATATAATCGTCCTCGATATGTAGCTTTTAATCATAATTACAATTATCCGATATAAATTATGTACTAAAAATAATCGCCATCCCGATTACGAATACATTTTTTAATACAAATTTTAGTCAATATTTCCATTGCGCACCTTAACTGTATTGCGTATTTATTTATTTTTGCACGTACTGTAGGTTTCTGTGTCTTGTCTATTTCCCTTAACATCTAACACACTTTCAGAATGGGGAGTATCTAATGTTAAATAATATAAAAATATATTACCAATTATCTGAGAGAAATGATATGAAATTTAAACATAATAACAACAACAAATACTCAGTTCAAAACAAGTTGTTTTTTTTTTAAATTATCTTATTCATAATTTTACTTACTATTTAAGAATCATTTTACTTAACTACATAATAAAAAAAAGATAAAGTTTCATTCCCACATGTGCACTTTCTATAACAACCACAAATAGATCTGCGGCCGATTATGACCCTAGCTAATTTTCCAAACTTAAGGGAAATTATTCGTCGTTGTAAAGCAAAAGTAGGTCGAGCCGGCGGACCGATATTCATTTGATGCTTCTCCAACATTATATAAGGAATGTTTTTAAGTTTCGTGAGTTACTGGTGTGTGAATCACACAGACTTGTCATGTAGGCTTATTTCATGAAGCGCGCTATCACTTTATGAAAAATACGCCTACGTGCAAGTCTATGTGATTCTCACACCAATAAATCACACTAAACTTAAAAAAAACTTTCTTATATTTACATTTTCTATGTCTTAAAGAATCAAAATTATACACGATATTTGAATTCCTCCCTCCCCGCTTTTGTTGCATTTTTAACGTCTCTTTAGCCTAAATGTAACATAAGTTTGCACAAAAATATAATTCAAACACTTTTGACTTATTAAAAAACACAGCAAATATAAATAGTTGTCAGTTGTCAGGTACTTCTTCAAATATTGAAAAAAAATCATCAATATCACAAAGCAAACCATTTCTCCTTATTTACAAAGAGGCTTGAAATTAAACTTGCAATTAAATTGTTATCCCCTAAAACCATTCCTTACCTCAGTTTTGCCCAGGTCACCAATAGTTTTCGCGGGATACATGTAACAATTTCACAAATCGACAATAAAAACAGCATATTATTATTTTCTTTTCTTTTGATTTTTTGGATTGAAGTTGTTAATCTTTTTTTAGTTGAATACCATTGGATGGTTTTTAGGCAAATATTCAACACGGAATTAAATCACAGAGGATCCTGGAATAATGCCAGAACAACGTACATTGTTTTCACTGTAAACAAAACAGCGAGGAAAATAATAAAGAACTCTAAAATAGACCATGCTGAGATTGTACTCGTAAACGAGCTTTCAGGAATATTTGAAGCAGATATGGCAATGGAAGATATGCATGTAGAAGTATACATGAACAATAGTCCGTGCAGAGATTGTGCTGAGCGTCTTTTGGAATTCCTTACATCACATCGACGAGCAAACATTACCATTCATTTTTCAAATCTTTATAAAATTTGGCGTAAATCTTGCATTATGGAAAGGTGTAAACACTGGCTGGCAGTAAAGCGAATTGATAGTAATGACAATGCGGATGGGTTAAGGATGCTCATGGACCATAGACGCTGCAATATACAACCATTCGACTGTAAAGCATGGCTAGATTTGATGGGTATTTTACATATTCAATCTCCAGAATTCGAGCAAATCTACATGTATCAGAATGATGGAAACGATAGAAGTCGGGAAAAGGAAGATACTCTTCTTCAAAAAGATCTAAATCTTATTACGGATCAGGAGATGTGTATGTGTATCTTTATATGTATATGAAGGTTATCAAAACTTTTGTGAATTATCACAAAAATCTTTATTTATTTATTCGTTCTTTTATATCTAAAGAGTAAAGTATAAGACACGTTTCATCTTTTAATAAATTGTTATTATGGTGAAAGCAGTTGGATGTACTAAAGTGTATCGTTTTTAGCATCATCGTCGTTGTTATATGAAAGCATATTTTAAATGTAATAAGTAATGCTAAAAAGGGAAACAGCGAGATGTGCCTGGGCCTCAATTATTAAAAAAAAGTTTTCACTCGGGAAACGAAAAAGAATCATGTAATTTTTGGTCATGGCAGTGAAAAAAAAATTTTGAGGATAATCGTTTTTTTTTTTTTTTTGGCGCAAGATATACGAATAGAAGAGTAATACTTTTCAAACCGATTTGTGGTGAAGATTATTTATACAGAAAGTAAAAAAAATAGATAAAGCTGGGGAAGTTAAATCAATTTATTTCTTGTATAGATCCGCCTTTTTAGGACTGAATGTCAATTTTTTTTAGTTTCATGATGCGATCAATCGAGTGGATTGCGTGTTAATCATAAGATTATTATGCAGGCCAATCGATTGATCATCGTTATGAAAAAAAATATATGAGTTATCCCTTATATTTACATGCTTTTAATTCCGCAAATTCGCGCGCTATAAGCCCCTCTTCTGTCTATTTTTCCATCCCCTCTCTTGATTTTTTTCAACAGTACATTTATGAACAAATAATCAACATTTACTATCTGTAACTTTATCTTGGACGAAGACATTGGAAAAGTAAATAATAACATGTTTAACAAATATAATAATTAAGCTATTCATATATTTTCTCAAATACATCATGAATAGTTTCTTCATACCGGTATTTAAAGTCCCGTTTTATGAGTCATAGGGGGCGGACATTGATCACGAGAAAACAAAGACATTGAAGATTTTGTAACTCTCAACGGAGACATCGCAGGGTTACAATACTACAGATTTTGTATTGTGTATTTAAAGGAAGATATAATTGCAGAAGTTAAAAAATCGATGCTTTTAACAACGATAATGATTTTCCCACCATAAAAAAATGTTATTTATCAATGCAATGCAGTCCTGTTCTGGAAACATGACGCATGGATGTTTCAACTAACATCAGTATCGTATATTACAGGTATGGAAGAAGAGGTATTTTATCAATTATTCAGCCTCCAAGGAACAATGATTATTGTTTACATCGTCAATAATGAGAACAGAGCCCGTTTTTCGACAAGAGCTTTTCATGGCGAGACGAAAGATGAGGAAGAATTTCGTCGAGATATCTGAAAAAACTTACACCTTAAAAAAAGAGTCAGAAGAAATGCATGTTGATATCTACATGTTATTGAATGACAATCGTTGCCGGATGCTTACCAACTTTCTAAGGCAACATAGGAAAGCTTTCTTTCGAATTTATGCTACGGAACTTGGTCGGTTTCAAAAAACCAGTTTAAGGCAACTTATGGATCATGAGCGCTGCAAAGTAAATGCTCTCGAATTTCAAACATGGAGTTCATTCATAAGCATTCTTGGTCCACCTATACCAGACTTTGAAGAAGAATATAAATCGAGACGTGAAAAGGAGGATATATACATCAAGAAAGAACTTACCGATATTTACAATCAGGATCAGTAGTACACAAAGTCTATAAATATCAAACTTAAAGAAACCTGTGTTTAAATTGATCGTGGACCTAAAAAGTGCAAGTCAACATTTGTTTACATCTTGTTGGATTGAGTACTTACGTTAAGTTATTATTAAGTTATTTTAAATACAAAATCTCTCATGAATTGCTAAGATATGATTTTTATACAACGTGTTCTGTGGGATTTATATTTTATCCATGAGCATTAGCGAGAACTAGTTGGATAAAAATCATATCCAACACAAATCATACGATATTCTTTTTGTTACGTTTTTCTGGATGAAATCCGTGCAAGCGCGAGGAATAGATTTTTACCACTACAGAATTAAGGACAGATGAAACAAACAATTTTTTTCTTTGAAAAAGATTTATATCATGTCACAAGTTTAGTGATGTGGATGGTTCTTAGAATTTTTTCTCCTAAGAACTGGAATATGAAAAAGACTTGGAAAATATTAGTAACATTTCAATGAAAAAACAAATATAGACAAAACACAATCAGTAAAGGTTTACAGGTGGAAAACAAATTTCAGAATATGTTAACATGGTGATAAAAGTGTAATAGACTTAAGAAAAATATACCAAGCCAGGTGAATTTTATTAGGAAAAGCAAAATGGTAAAAATCAGCCTTTTGATATTGCCAATTTTTCCTAATTTTGATCTTCCTCTTAAAATTTATCTGGCTAGGTATATTTTTCTTAAGTTTATATAACAATTTAATTCTTTATATTACTAGATGTTTCAAATGGCATGCCAAACGTTGAGATATTCGATCTTTGTATTGTATATCTTTCCCATTTGAATTGTATATATTTTATTTGGATTGTATAATTTTGCATTTGTATTGTTTAATTTTTCACTTCCATTATTTTTTTGTTTCGAATTCTATAATTTTCCATTTGGATTGCAAACATTTATTTGTATTCTACATTTTCCATTTGTATTGTAAAACAACCATTTGTTTCGTATTTTTTTTTATTTGCATTCTATATTTTCCATTTGCATTGCATAATTGTTTATTTGTATTGTATAATTTCTTGTTTGTATGCGATATTTTTTCATTTGTCTTGTATCCGAGGATTGTTTAATTAAATCGCTACGAAGTATTTCATTGGTCAAGTTTTAGTCTGTAACGGACAAAGTTCATTTTTCAAATGCCTAACACAAACTTTGTCCGGTTCCCACAATTCCCGTTCGTTCTGTCTCTACTAACTCTACTCCACGGTTCCTCTATTCACGTGCATGCTAAGGGACGACCCTTTGATTTAGGGGGGGGGCATTTGTCTAATGCGATTATTTATTTTCATTTTCTCGGAGGAGAAAATATTTATTTCAAATATGACCAGAGACAAGGAGAAAAAAGAATAAAGAAAATCTGCCAAAACCCGAAAATTCATTTTCTTTGGGGTGGGATGGAGGGTAAATCACTACCTAGGGTTAAATTATTTTTTATTTTTCTCAATCAACATTTCTAAGGACAAATTATTTGTTTGCCATCTGGCAGCGCTCCCTTTCAAGAATAAAATGGCCGTACTCTAAAATGCAGGCAGATACAAAACAATGTAATCCTTCGTACCGAAAGAAATATACAATTCTTGGATATGTAGAAAGCAATATAAAACAATATCTTTTTTCGTAATAGTCCTGTCAATAATTTTTCTCAGAGAGATCTGATGAAGATGACATCATGACGGCAGGGTTCTCCTTGGGCGATTCAAGCTGCGCGCCACAGTTAAATTCTGTAGCGCCACAATTAAAATATCGGCGCCACAGTTAAAATATTAGCGCCAAAGTACTGTAAGACTTTCCTCGTCAGTAAGATAAAAATATATAAATCTATAAATCAAATGAACCTCTTAATTATGTACCGTTTTCAGTTTCTTTTGCTTAGCTGTTAATTTACTCTAATTATTGCCCATTGTTTGGTTTGGACAATCAATTACCCCGGTACTAGTATCTTTTAGACTTCACTGGAGACATGAATGAAGAGAAACAAGTCATTTTTATACACTTCACGATAATCACAAATGATTTTTTTATATCAATTAATTAATGCTTTAATATACAGAAGTTCTAAAAATGCTAAAGATAACCGCGTCTCTAAAATTACATTGACACTGCGAGTCAAGTACATCGTACATGTATCGTAAATCTTTGTATTTTTGTAAAGTTGAAAAATTAGCAATACATCCAAAAAATGTTATTTTATTCCTTTAAACTGCTTATGAAAAGTGTTTTAGAATACAAATTTAAAGATGTTTTGGTCTTCAGACCAATAATTGCAAATGTAAAGAACTTATGTTCACGTCAGAGTGTGACCTACCTACCTTCCTCTGTCCTCTGTGCAGTTAAATGCTTAAAACGTGAAACTACTAGTACTGTTAATTTTAGATTCTATAAGCAAATATTTTCCAAATACTAGTAATATATGTCATTTATTTAATACTACTGAATCACTGGGTATGTGGTTCCTTCGAGAATTCAATCACGAAGTAACTGCGAATATTGCACTTCGCGTTAGTCTTGCGCCCCAGTTAAATTTGAAATGATGGAGAATCCTGATGACGCCTCATAACAGCATCTAAGCCAAAAAGAATTCGGCAAGGTTTGTATCTAGATAATTGTGTTTAAAAAGCATATACTACATACATTGTATGTGATTTATTACAGACCAGGATTTCTACTAATTTTCTTGTCCACACAGGGGGAATAAGGAAGCATACAAAATATTCTACCTCGACTGAATCAGTGCTACATTATGACGTCACAGTAGGCGAGATGACGTCAATTTTAAAACACAAGTTTTCGTAATATTGATAGTTTTTTAGAGTACATTTTTAGAGCTGTAATTTAACTCTAGAAAATGAATAGAAACGTGTAAACATAAGCAAAAATAAAATGCTCTTATTTTGTAATGCTGGATTCTGTCATTTTGATTAAAATCTACCACCGATGACGTCATATGTGTACATCAAGTAACTTGGGTTGATCATGCTGTGTAAAGAGAATTTAGCTAATACGGCATGTACAAAGACACGTAAAATGGAGTTTAACAGCAAATATTGTTAATATCTTGTGATATGCATATAGAGTTCAGTTTAGAAAACAGGTATGCTAATTTATTTTCATCGATTTTATTCTCTTACGAAGACAGTCAGCTATATACGTATCCCAGTCCGCCTTTCCTCTGTCATTTGTGACAAAATTAATGCAACAGAACAACAATATGCTAAATATTTCAAAACAAAAATTTGTACGTATGGAAAGTTTGCCTCCTAAAATAGTTGGAAAGTGCTGCTAGAATCCCGAGTTAAGCATGGTTTTATGAAAAATCAGGGTTCATATGTAAAACATTCAAAATATTGGGTAAGGTTTCCTGCGAATGTTTGGAATTATTATTTCACTAACGGGACAATTGGATTATTAGCAGCACTTTTTAGGCAAAATGCATGTTTTTCAACAACATTATTTACTCAAAGAAATTATTAAACTCCGGGGTATTGTTGTTCTGTTAGCTTTTTTATTAAGGAAAATTTCGCTATTAATAGAAGTCACGTGATGCCGTGGTGGTGGTGCACGTCGTTGCGTTAGACACTCTTTTATCTTTATGCAATAAATAATAATAGTTTACGTTTATCAGCGGTTTTGGTAAATTATCAAACTTAATTTTCTTTAAAAAGTCTAAATTCCCTAGAAATGACTTTTATGCTTCCTTAACATACCCGCGCACATCATAAAGTGCAATTTAAGCAATTAACATCAAACAACCATTATTCAGTGAACTTGGCGTTATGAATAGCAATTGCTATACTGGCATATTTTTCATGAAGCACTAGCCACTGTGATGTGTAAAACAATTAATAAATTTGGAGTTCCGACAAACGATCTCAGATTTTCATTACGTGAAACAAAGTTGCACTTCATGACCTGATTTACTGCCAGTGGAAGAGAATCTGTTTAAAAAAATGTGTACTTGGGGTAAATAAAACATTTTAATTGGTTATAAACAAATGGACAGAAGACGCTTATAAAACATCTTCCTCTTGATGTCTTGACGTCTCCATATCAGGGAAATATTCTGGAGAGGGACGTTAAACAGTATACAATCAATCAATCAATCGAGATGTGCCCTCTAGCAAAAATTTTATTGCTAATGCTGTAATACAAATATACTATGAATTTGAAAAGATTTACCTTGAAGTGGGTACCCTCTTTGTTTATAAGGTTTCACATCTAACCTTAAGTATTTCAATATAAATAGAGGGCCAATCATTAAAAAATAGCAAAAAAATGTCATGAGAAATCGGAATAAAGGTTGGAAAGGCTATGAATTCATTTATTTGAATATCTAGTACTTTATATACCTAAATGTCTATCGGTCAATTTTACTGTAGATTTTATACAATACAGTCTACAGCGTACTATTTTTAACTTGACGTCAAACACTAATGTTTCTAAATACTAAAATAACGTCATTTTCTGTGTAATACGTCATCAGATTCAGAGTGTGGTGATATAGGTTCAGAAAACCACAATGAGGTGATCCTGAAAGTCGGATAACGCCGTCACGTGATTGAGTAAAATCTGTAGGGAAAAAATGAATGATACACAGATAGGTATATAATAAAAAGTTCGAAAGG